TTCATGCAGTGGAGGATAGACTATGCAACTCCTAAGGGGCTGGTGTTACTCGGAGACGTTATGGGGCCGTTCATCCTCTGGCACAAACTGGACATTATATTGACTGTTTCTTCGTCGCCTCCCCCTCTACCAAATTTGGAGCGAGTTGTTGAGGCCGGGGAGACATTTTCACCGTCGCGTGACCCCCACATTCCTGAGATGCCACATTCTTCCCCGCCTCGTAGCGAGCATGTGCCTGATGAGATGCCACAACCTTCTCCAGCTCGTACCGAGCAAGTGCATGATGAGATGCCACAGTCTTCTCAACAAGCACAACCGATACATGAACAACGAGTGCCTCCTGAAGAAGGTGATGCATAAGAAGATGAGGACGTGCCTGAATGGGAACTTCGAAAGAAGATTCCAATCAACATAAGTCCAATTTATGTTCCGATCAAAGACGTCTCGTCAGTGTCAAAGTGGTATTCCCATGACCAGTTCAAGCCTGAGAACCAAGTTAAAAAAGTCCCATCACGGGGTTCTGAGGAGGCCGTCACTAGCAAACTCCAAATTGCAAAGCAGTATCCAAATGTTGATGCCATCAAATGGTCAAAGGATTGCCCGAAAACATGTGAAAGAGGCAAGCCCTTCCTACCAAACCAGGACATCCAGCGCCTACCACTTGGAATGAGAAGGTTCCATGATTGGTACTTGCGTGTTCTCCCAACGAGCATAGATATCATACAAGCATGCATCCCCATCGGCACATTTGGAAGCCCAACCGAGAAAATTGTCTTTGACTTCAATGACATACACACATGCTTTCACCTGGGAGAAATGGAGATGAATCTAATTCGCACGTGGTGCCTGTAAGTCCTTGTCCTCCCGATATGATATGAATGTAATCTTTGAATTTTATTATAACTAACCCACACCGTGATTTGTAGAATGCAAGTGCACATTGTCAAACAAATGCCAAGTGTGAAAGCTGGGTATATAGACCCTCAAGCTATAGCCCAAACAAATTTTAATTACCCTAAACGGTGGACACTGGATGCCAAAGAGCTAGCTGCTGCAAAGACTCTTCGGGAGAAAGAGTGCATTCGTACGGCGAAACTAAGGGAAGAGTCCCTTAAGGTTGCGGCATACATTGCCATGGCTTTCAAAAATCTCCAACAACACTCTACTATATGGCTACCATACAACTTCGAGTAAGTTCAATTCTATACTTAAAGCTTTGTTCGATATATTTTATTCGATGCAAAAGAGCTTATCTAGTTTTATGATTAAATCCATGCAGCAACTACTGGATTTGTATAGCCATCGATGTCAGGAGGAGCATGGCATGGGTCTTCGATTCATTAGATAGGCACACGGTGACATACAAAGACTTCATATCGATTCTCAAGACAAATACAGATCGACAATCCTCATTAGCTTATATGTTTGTATACATACTTGTAACGTTCACTTTTGGATACTAACAAGTTGTATTTGCTAAAATAATTTGAACAGGGCATTTAGGTTCTATGTCACTAATCATCATGGAAGGCATGATCCAGCAAGGAAGGAAAACCTGGCTATAAAAACACTATATGCGGTAAGTGTAACTTACTTCTTCAGTACTCTGTTACATGACTGTCAAAAGCATTACTTAACATTTTCATATGCAAAACACACAGTGCCCCAAGCAGAGGCCTGGGAGTGTACATTGTGGATACTATATATGTTCTATGATGAGTAACACCGGTGCCTACAGGAGACACCCCTTAAGGGTAAGTTTGAACCTCTTCACCCGTAGTATAAAAACTTCGTACAAGGTATGAAATACTAAACCAAAACTTGTTCTCTTGTAGTGGATAGAAGAGAAAGGAATGAAAAGAGACACATACAAGGATGACCAACTCTTAGAGCTTGTCGGCGACCTTTGCAACTTCATATTGGACCAGATTGTACACGTCAGAGGTGCCTACCATGACCGAGAGTCTGAGTTAGGTACAAATCCTCAGTACCAACACCTTCATGAGACTGAAAGGCTAGCTCTAGGACGTAGATAAGAATATGTATGGAATTTGTATATTTAATGAATGATTGTATATATTCTTATGAATTGGACTTGTAATTGTAGTTTATAGAATACTCTTGTGCTTGTAGTTGCAGTCGCGGGGCGTTCGGCAACGCGAACGCAGTTCGGAACGTTGGTCATGGGGCGTTCGGCAACGCGAACGTGGTTCAAAATGTTGGTCGTGGGGCGTTCGGCAATGCGAACGCGGTTCGAAACGTTGGTCACGGGACGTTCGGCAACGCGATTTTGAATTGTAAATTTGATTTTTTTGGGCGGAAAAACGTACTGTAGGGGCGGTTCTAGATTGAACCACCCCTACAAATACCTATGTGGCTGGTAATACGAGCCGCCCCTACAAATAGATTTGTAGGGGCGGCTGGTAATACGAGCCGCCCCTACAAGCAGCCCCTACAAATCAATTTGTAGGGGCGGCCTAGGAACCGCCCCTACAAATGCATGATTTGTAGAGACGGTTCGGTAGGGGCGGCTGGCCAAATCGCCCCTACAAATGGTTACGAGCCACCCCTAAAAATCGATTCTGTAGTAGTGAAGCGACCATACACTTCCCTTAGATTGATTGGTCTAAACCGGTGGCCACAGCCTCCACCAGTGACTGAAAGTGTGCCTTCGGTATTGTTTTGGTGCTCAGTGGTAGGCCTAGATACATGTAACTGGACTATGATATATTGACTGTAATATGATAGAGTATGTGGGTAAATACGGTCACCGCCAACCGATCAACAAGATCGTCGCACGCCGCCGCCGCCGTCGCCCTTAGGCACGGTCAGTTCCTAGTTCCTGTCCAATACCCTCACCTCTCCTCTGTTGCTTTACAAAAGGGGGCCACTGTGGGCTGCCCTCGCATCTGGGCCACGTAGGGTCTGATTTAGACGATCCAGTCCTGCCCAAAGACTCTACCACTGGGCTTCTTCATTCGTTTGACTCCTGGGTTCCTTCCCGCCGGCTCCTCTTCAGTGCTTGCCTCACCTTTCTTGTCGTCATCAGGTTTAGAGATATCACCATCGGTAGTGGTCGTCGCCGTGCCACCGGTGACATCCCTTCCTCCTTTAGAACCAGCTTGACCCCAAGCTGGTGCACGGGGAAACTATTGCCGTAGAGATTCTTCATCTTCCTAGGTGGAGAGAGTGGTAGGGAGATAGGACCATCACACCAGAACTTGAGGGATCATACACTCATTGTGCTGATGAAGCCGACGGTCTAAGATTTCTTGAGGCACCTGCAACTGATTAGAAATGTCAGGTAGCTCTTGACTTACCACGACAGCAGATGGAATGGCCTTCTTGAGTTGTGATACATGAAACACCGGATGTATAAGACAATCTGGAGGTAGGTGTAAATGATAAGCTGATTGACCAATCCTTTCAGTGATCAGAAATGGCCCAAAGAAATGGAATGCCAATTTGTTGGAAGATCTGGGCGCCAAGGAAGTCTGCACATATGGTTGGGCTTTAAGATACATAGAGTCACCCGGTTGAAATGATCGAGGTGTGCGATGTCTATCAGCCTGAGTTTTCATTTTGTTCTGGGCTCTGACAAGATGCTGACGGACCAGTGATTGCATTAGAGTTCTTTCTTCCAACCATCCCTAAAGGTCACTGGATTTACAGGCTTGAGATATATCAATACCAAAATTCCTTAGTTCATGACCATAGAGAACTAGGAATGGACTTTGACCAAGAGAAGAATGGAATGACGTGTTATACCAGTATTCTGCCAATGCAAGCCATTGAGACCATTTCGTTGGACAAGCATGCATGAAGCATCTTAAGTAAGTTTCAAGACATTGGTTAACACGCTCTGTCTGGCCATCCATTTGTGGGTGATAGGCACTACTCATTCTCAAGTCTGTACCAAGGAGTTTAAACAATTCTTGCCAAATGTTGCTAGTAAAAATTTTATCCCTATCTGAAACCATAACTGTAGGGAGGCCATGGAGTTTGAAAATATGGTTCAGATATGCTATAGCTACTTGCAGAGCAGTGAAAGGGTGAGAGAGGGGAACAAAATAAGCATATTTTGAAAATTTATCTACCACCACTAATATGCAGTTGTATCCAGCAGACTTTGGAAGACCCTCTATAAAATCAAGAGTTAAAGTGTGCCAAGCATGATCAGGGATGGGTAAAGGTGCCAACAGACCTGGATAAGCCACCCTCTCGGCTTTTGCTTGCTGACATATAGTGCACTGGGCAACAAATTCTTGTATCGATTGCGTAAGCTTGAACCATGCAAATAGATGTTTGACTCGCTTATAAGTGACCTCATAACCAGAGTGGCCGCCAATTGCACTTACATGGAGAGAGGAAAGGATCTTAGACTGTAAGACATGTTGTTGACCCACCCAAATTCTCTCCTTGTATCGAATGATGCCATCCTTTGGTGAATAGAAACCACTTGGAGAGGAAATAGAGAGTTCAGGCAATAGTTTAGTAGCTTGAGAATCTTCTGTATAAGAATCTTGAATCTCTTGAAGCCAAAGTGGTCGCACCATGGAGATAGCAGAGATATCATAATAGGGAGCCTGAGATACTCTTGAGAGGGCATCCGCTACTTTGTTATCCACACCCTTTTTGTACACAATTTGATATGAGAGACCCATCAATTTGGTTAATGCCTTGTGTTGAATAGGAGTTGATAATTTCTGATCATCTAAATGAATTAGACTTTTCTGATCAGTGAGGATTGTGAAGGAGGAAGATTGCAAATAATGGCGCCAATGATCCACTGCCATCAAGATTGCCAAACACTCCTTCTCATATGTTGAAAACCCTTGAGCCTTAACTCCAAGTGCTTTACTGACATATGCAATTGGGTGACCTTGCTATTGTAGGACAGCACCAATGCCTTTGGCCGAGGCATCTGTTTCAATAGTGAAAGGCAAGTTGAAATTTGGTAATGCCAGAACCGGGGCTGAAATCAATGCCTTCTTGAGCGCCTAAAAAGCAGCTTCGGTTTCTGATGTCCACACGAACAGGGTTCCCTTTTTCAACAAGTTGGTTAGAGGTTTGCACAGAAGCCCAAACTGTGAAAGAAATCTTCTGTAATATCCCACCATGCCTAAAAAACTATGTAACTCCTTTATGTTCTCTGGTTGTGGCCATTCTTGAATAGAAGCTATCTTTGAGGGATCTGTGGCGACACCTTGTCCACTGACAATGTGGCCCAGATAAGATAACTATTGTTTTGCAAATAAGCACTTGGACATCTTGACATGGAAATGGTTTTGTTGCAGTATACTGAGAACTTCTTGTATATGCAAAAGATGATATTCCCAGGATTTACTATAAATGAGAATGTCAACTATAAAGACAACCACACATTTTCTGAGTAAGGGAGCCAGAATCAGATTCTTGACTGTTTGAAACGTTGCTGGACCTCCTATGACTCCATACGACATGACCCTATACTCATAGTGTCCATTATGAGTCTGGAATGCTGTTTTGAACTCTTCATCGGGGCCATGCGTATTTGATGAAATCCAGAGCAAAGGTCAAGAGATGTGAACCAAGAAGAATCATGTAGTTCCTCTAGAAGTTCTTCAATGATAGGCAGGGGGTACTTGTTCTTCTTAGTCAGTGCATTCAGTCTGCAAAAATCAACACATAAACGCCAATCGCCAGTCTTCTTGCGTACCAGTAAGACAGGAGACGAATAAGGGCTTGTACTAGCTTGAATCCATCCCTTCTGGAGCATGTCAGCTATCTGATTCTCTATTTCTGTCTTCTGGGCGGGGTTGTAGTGATAAGGTCTGAGGCAAAATGGTTGAGCACCATCTAATAGTGGAATGGAGTGGTCGCCCAACCGTGAAGGTGGAAGTGTGGTTGGAGGCTCGAAAACTGACTTGAATTGATCCAGCAAGTGTTGAAGATCCAGAGGTAATGATGGTTCCGGAGGTGCAGCAGGTTCCATTGCTTGAATTTGTACCAAATATAATATGGAGTCTATCTTGTCAAAGGCGAGCAACTGATTGTGAGTAACTGAAGGAACTAATTGAACAGCAGTAGGAATGCCTTGAAGAGTTATGAGCTTGTCTTGATAGGAGAATTGTAACCATCTATCCACCCAGTGAATTTTCATAGGGCTGTGGGTTTCCAACTAGTCCATTCCTAATATGATATCATAGCCTCTGATTGGAATGATTTTTAGTGTTGTACAGAAAGTATGCCCTTGTGTGCCCCAGACTTGATCACGTAGCTCATGAGTACAAGACAGAACCTCTCCATTATCTACTCTGACAGTTACTGATTGAGATAGTGGTTGCCATGGAGAAACATTAGCTGCAACCAGATCACTGACAAAACTATTTGAGCTTCCAGAATCAATCAACATAAATATTTCTTTTCCTTGGAGGTAACCTCTCAGTCTGATTGTTTTAGAGCCTTCAATGCCATTCAGAGCTTGTATAGATATAGCCATCAGATCATCTCCTGAGTCAGATTCTACAGCTTTTGTTGTAGGTACTAGATCTTCATGATCAGCAATACATCTCCAGATGTCTTCTATAGCATTGAGAGAGATAGAAGGACACTTATGGTTGGGTCCCCATTTTTCTCTACATTTGAAACACAAGCCTTTGGATCTTTGATAATTCTTCAAGGCAGTCAATTTATCCTCCCCTGTATGCTTGGTCTTGCCAAGATCAGGTGGCTTCTTCTCTTTGACAACTCTTGCAAAATTAGAAGATGTTGCAAAAGGTGCTTTGATAGAGTCTTGATTGTTTCTCTTTGAGTAAGATCCCAATTCAGATCGCCTGATAGGTTGGTCTTGAGAAGCTTCTTCCTGCACAAAGGCCAAAGAGCTAGCAGTATCTAAATCTTGAGGTCTGTGCATCATAACCACCGCACGTACATCCTTTTTAAGGCCATCAAGAAAGCGGTTTGTAATAACAGTAGCAGGAAAAGATGGATCATGGGCTAATAACTGATGGACAATGTCACTGAATTGTTCGACATATTCAGAGACTGTAGTGGTTTGCTTAATATGAAAGAAATGGCACAACAGGTGATTGTGTTGATCTTTGTCAAACCTATTATAGAGAGCTACAACAAAGGATTCCCATGACATTTTACTGATGGTAGTTGGCATAGTCTGAAACCAAAGTGCTGCAAAACCCACAAGACGCATGGTAGCTAAACGAACCCAAAGACTTGGATTAGTTTGATAGACATCAAAGTATGTTTCACAATGTTTAATCCACAAACGTGGGTTAGAGCCATCAAACTTATGGAATTCAACTTCAGGAAAGGGTGTGAGGGGTGGGTAATGTGAGTAGTGTAGCCGATCATAGTGCCCAGAGTCATAAGTATGAAGTAGAACATGGGTGGATTTGGGGGGAGTTGGTGTTGCACCTGTGACCGGGGCCGGTTCCGGGGTGATGGTGTACACTGCCCCGAAATCAGCACCCCGGTGAGAAGTTCGCTTGCCGTGGTCTAACGACCCAGGTGCCTCCCTTGACGGGTGAAACTCTAGGTGAGCAGAGCTCGGCGCCTTGATGCTCGGAGAGGCAAAGTGTTCCTCCCGAATTGCCATGGTGAGCGAGGGTTGGGCGATGGTGACTTCCCTAGACTGCTCCCCATGGTTTGGTTCTAGTGGTTGGGCCATCGAAATCTGAGATCCTAGAATTTGCTCGATGCGTTCCCCCAGATTCAGCACAGCGTGCTACAGCTCATGAACTCGGTTGTCGACTTTGGGCTTCCACAGCAACAAATCCGTCTTCATCGTAGTCATCTCCGTCATCGAACTCTTGAGCTCGTTGATTCCCTTGGTGTTTTCTCCCAGCAACGCTAGGATTTGCCCCAATTGCTCTTCCTTAGAGATTGAAGCCATATGTCTTCGGGTCTTCGGGTGAGGTACTGATGTGATGCCAGAGTCACAAATTTCCCCACAAATCGATTCGCGGGCTTGGGAATTACCGAAAAATCTCTAGCGGCAGCAGCTCACTGCCCTCCAAGGATCTCAATCGAACCCGAAGCGTTTGCTACTTCAACCGATGGAATGCGGAAATTCGAGGGACCGAGGATCGAGAGGCAATCCGATACTAGATGTAACCGGACTATGATATATTGACTGTAATATGATAGAGTATGTGGGTAAATACGGTCACCGCCGGCCGATCAACAAGATCGCCGCACGCCGCCGCCGCCATCGCCCTCAGGCACGGTCAGTTCCTAGTTCCTGTCCGATACCCTCACCTCTCCTCTGTTGCTTTACAAAAGGGGGCCACTGTGGGCTACCCTCGCATCTGGGCCACGCAGGGTTTGATTTAGACAATCCAGTCCGACCCAAAGACTCTACTACTGGGCTTCTTCATTAGTTTGACTCCTGGGTTCCTTCCCGTCGGCTCCTCTTCAGCGCTTGCTTCACCTTTCTTGCCATCATCAGGTTCAGAGATATCACCATCGGTAGTGGTCGTCGCTGTGCCGCCGGTGACAATACTTAACGGGAAGTTTTGAATCTGGCAGCCAAGGATGGAGACAATGTCGTCCATGACGTCATCTGCAGGTATGGTAGATGGTACTGTCTCCGGCAATGGACGTACGTACACGTCCGGGTTAAAGCCTACTCCCTCCGTCCCATTAAGTTTGTCGTTTGAAAACCGTGTCCTCCTCACAATCCCAGTTCCTGAGCGACAAACTCAATGGGACGGAGGGAGTAGCAAGCTAATCTAGTATAACAGATCGGGTATCACTGGTGTGACCCACCATAAGTTCTGTTTTCAAGAATATCTTCTTCCATCTATTGTAAAAGGGAAAACCTTTCCGTCCCTGACAAAAAAATGGAAAAAAAATCAGACGCAATATACCTCATGAAGTCACGTCATCAGCCCATCACGCGTAGATGGCCTCTCATCCACTGATTGGTCTTCCCCTCTCGTAGCCTTCGGAGTTGTGACTCGAGCGCGAGCGCGGCAGATCTCCTTCCTCCGTTCTTCCCCTTCCGGTTCCAGACGTCAGTCACCTTCGTTGCGTGCACGCGTGGTTGTCGTTGCAGTGTTACAGCGTGGGCGTCACGCCGCACATCTCCGCGTCCCTCGCGCGCGGCCTGGCACGGGGTCAAGATTACTCTGTCGAGATCAGACCATAGGTGAATGGTCGCCGGCTAGGGACGCCGCCGCCCGCCAGCCAGCGAGTGAAGGCGGGCGCGGCGAAGCTCTGCATGCACCGTATCGGCGAACAGGTTGAGCCCCGGACGTCCATCTTCTCCTTCCGTTGCCGGGTGATCCTAGGCACGGCGCAGGAGCCAGAGCCACTGGACGGCTAAGGTGGAGCGCAGTATCATGTCGGGGACGGCGCGATGGCTGAGCTGGGAGAAGCCTGGCAGAGGTGGTGCGGCGCTGCCGAGCGGATTATTTAAATGCGACTGCAGCGGCGACCGTTCGTTTTCTTGTGCATGCGTGCATTTGTAGTGGCAGTTCCTTTTAGGTGCATTAATTTGTTGTGATCGAGGATTCGGTGGTGCATTGTGCGGTAGAGGAATCGATTGACACAAGAATTTCTACAGCTGATTGGTTAGTGTGCAAGAAGGAACAATGGGTGGGTGTGGGTGATGTGGCTTAAGGAGAATGCAGACAAAATAAGCTAACGGGGATCTCCTATTTAGTTATAGAAGATGTAGCCCTGTTCGCTTGAGCTTATTCAAAACTATTTTTCATTTATGGAATAGTATTTTCCTCTCACAATATTTTAGCATAAACATCAGCATAAGTCAAATTTCAGCATCAGCGAACATGGTGAATATCAGTACGTGTAGTACAAGAAGAATCTTGCGTTCCGAAAAACACGATAACATGTGCGGCACTGGCGCCCTTGCTGCATATATCTATAGGTTGTCTATAACTTCTATAGGGTACCACCCAAACAATCCGCACAGGCACACAGCAGGGCAACATGCCGCACAGCATGGCCCCATAACTGGTGGCTCCATCGAGGCGGTGGTGCGAATATTCTCCCTCACTACTATTACAAGTGCACGTAGGGTACTTGTCGGCACTCCCCCATGATGATATTAAGGGCCTGTTTGTTTCTCAAGTATGTAAAGCTTAGTTGACTAAAGCTAAGGACTAAAACTTTAGACCACTTTAGTTCATTTGTGTGGTCTAAACTTTAGAAAACACTTTAGACTTTCTGTTAAAATTTATTGGCTAAACTTCCAAACAGGATCTAACTACGGGTCGTCAACCTTATTGTCGATAGCCATGGAGAGAAAATTAAGTGTCCAACTTTAGGGATCAAGGGTTGGTGATTAGTATCCAATGTAACAATGTAGATTTCAGTACACTAGAGTGGGTTTGAGCGTCTATGTGCAACTCTTCTAACCTCCTAGGATGCCGCTATAAGGCGTGTTGTATTAAACTTTTTTCTCTATCTTAATACAAAGACACACAATCTTTTTACGTGATTGATAAAAAGAAATGGATCAAGGCTTAGAGGAGGCTCATATGTCTCGTGAATCCGTGATATATATATATAGGTACTACTCATAGATACACGGTGAGAATCGTCTCCACTGTTTTTTTTTCCAGTTCACGAATGGTTCGACCTGAACCCTTTGCAGGCCTATTTTCGCTTGGGGTGCACAAGTTGGCTTACCGTCCAAAAAGTCCAAACCCAGCCGCTCCCGGTAATGCAACGTTTTTTTTGTCCAAAGTCCAAACCGAGTTGCACCCGGTCTTGCAGTTTTTAGCGCCCGGAACTGAATGTATATGGATCCAAAAGCCGCCGCCATGAAAGATTCTTGTGCAGAATCTAGATGAGCACTCGAACGCGCGGAGAAAATAGCGGAGGTCGGTCAACCTGGTCGCTGCAGTTCGAGAGGGAAGAGGGATCAGCAGCGGCCATGTGCCGGTCATTTGTCAGGGTGACTACGCCAGAGGCTGGATTTACCATGTCTATGTGGATTCTGATCTCTCGGAAAGGTGGTGACTACGCAACAACGAACTCGTCTCCATGGCCGAGAATCCAACCTCTATATACAAAAAACAATGCGCTCCCTTCTACGTGCATCCTCCGCGGCCTGACTGAGATTGTCATGCTGGGTCATCCAAAGTGAGCCTGCCACGCGTGACAAATTAAACCTGACACATCAGCCCTAGGTTCACTGAGGGGAAACTATAATAAACAAAAAGATCGCCTAGCCGAACTGAACTAAATTTGTGTCAAGCCCTAAAAGAATTCAAGAACAATCAGGTATACTCAGGGTCGGACATCTCGGAAAGGTGGTGACTACGCAACAACGAACTCATCTCCATGGCCGAGAATCCAACCTCTATATACAAAAACCAATGCGCTCTCTTCCACGTGCATCCTCCGCGGCCTGAGATTGTCATGCTGGGTCATCCAAGTGAGGCTACCACGCATGACAAATTAAACCTGACACATCAGCCCTAGGTTCACCGAGGAGAAACTGAAATAAACAAAAAGATCGCCTAGCCGAACTGAACTAAATTTGTGTCAGGCCCTAAAACAATTCAAGAACAATCGGGTATACTCAGGGTCAGGGCATCTCGGAAAGGTGGTGACTACGCAACAACGAACTCATCTCCATGGCCGAGAATCCAACCACTATATACAAAAACCAATGCGCTCTCTTCCACGTGCATCCTCCGTGGCCTGACTGAGATTGACATGCTGGGCCATCCAAGTTAGGCTGCCACACATGACAAATTAAACCTGACATATCAGCCCTAGGTTCATTGAGGGGAAACTGTAATAAATAAAAAGATCGCCTAGCCGAAATGAACTAAATTTGTGTTGGGCCCTAAAACAATTCAAGAACAATCGGGTATAGTCAGGTCAGGGCATCTCGAAAAGGTGGTGACTACGTAACAACGAACTCATCTCCATGGCCGAGAATCCAACCTCTATATACAAAAACCAATGCGCTCGCATCCTCCGCGGCCTGAGATTGTCATGCTGGGTCATCCAAGTGAGGCTGCCACGCATGACCAATTAAACCTGTCACATCAGTCCCAGGTTCACTGCAGGGAAACTGTAATAAACAAAAAGATCACCTAGCCAAACTGAACTAAATTTGTGTTAGGCCCTAAAACAGTTCAAGAACAAACGGGTATACTCATGGTGAGGGACGGTATGCCCGAAGCGTCGTCATTCACGCATGCAGCGAAACAGGGATCCAACGCGGTGCCGCAACGTATCCAATGCGAGCTTAGGCCAGTCTCAATGGGGATTTCATGGCTCTGTTACCAATGCATCTATATTTTGGAAATAGTGCAGAAGAGTTTCATCCCCATGAAACTCTCTCTACTTCTATGAAACTCTTATCATCTCTCTTCATTAATACGGTGCCACATCAGTTTATTTAATGCCCATAATACTCTGATGAAACCCCACCGAGACTGGCCTTAGTAACATATCCGACCTTGTTTAATAGTATAAGTACTGCTCCTCGGTCTTCCACGCCACGTACGTACAAAATTGCTTACGTGAGCTGGCTTTCCATAATCTCTGCCTCCCAAGTAATCACGCGGCATGTACTACTCCCTCCCGACAGCTTTTTTAGGCGTGAAGAAGGTGAATCCCGAATATCAAGGAGCGAAGGGTGTGTATAGCTAGAGAATAAATCTTGCGACATTAATATAGGCAACTTCATGTATGCATGCATGCACGCACGTACCGTTAACTCCTCACACCTGGTGATTGGCTCGCGCGAAGCGCCCAACACTACGGTATACGTGCTTTTTAGCGAATGCTCGGCGCTTTACCGAGTGTCGAAACACGGTTTGCCGAGTGCCGCACTCGGCAAAGCCGGCACTTGACAAAGGCCGTCTTTGTGCACGTTGCAGATGGTGGTCCTCAGGGTGAAAGGAAGTGTCAAACATTCTGGCAAAGAGGGACACTTCGGCAGACGTCCTCTTTGTCGTATAAGTGTCGGGCACTCGACGAAAGAATAACCCTCGGACAAAATACCTCGAGAGGACGCCAGCGACGCGGCGGTGGCCCTCCGTCATCCTTTGCCGATGAAGTGTTGGCCGTTAGCACTCGGCAAGCTTCCTGGTTGAATCTTTGCCGATAAAGTGTCGATTTGCGGCCCGCCACTCGATTCGCTGATTCACATGTTTCTCAAGGTTCCTTCGGTTTGTTCAGTGCCGAAAAAAACAAAACCAAACACGGTTTTTCGGCAAGATCGGTTTTTCGCAAACCGAAGTTTTTTTTTTCAAATTTTTTAAAACCATTGACATTTACGCAGCGGCATGTACTATACCTTGAAGCACATGTTCCAATTTAGAACTTTTCTATGACTTTTTGGTATATTTTTTAAATTTTTTATGTTTACTTGAACTTTTCTCGAAAAAGTAAATTTGAACTGCAGGTGTATGAAATATTGGAATTTAGCGATTCAAAAAATGGTATTCATGTTTTTTAGTGTATTTTGAGGCCGTGTGCAGGGACATTCTTGAAATTTCGAACATCTGTTTCACGAAACATGACCACCAACTTGTTAAAAAAGTATTTTTTAATTATATAAAAT